GACCGTGATTGAGACCGAGACTGAGACCGGGACAAGACTAAAACAGACCAGTCCTGTTTTAGTCTTGTTTTAGTTCGGCATCGTACTTTAAGTCACGTAAACGGTTGAGTTTTAGTTTTTTCCATTTTTCATTTAAACAAAAAATCGAAAACTGAAAAAAACAAATCATTATCTGTTTTTTTAATTTTGGTTTTGGAGACAAATAATGAAGAAAATATTTTTTTCATTTTCTTATATTTGTTTTTGTAATCTGATCATTTCTATTAGTGTCTAGACTCGAGTTATTAAATAATATTGGTCTGTAGATTGTTGTGATGTCAGACACAGAACAGCTCAACAAATCTGCAGTTAAACCGTTACACAAACAGAAAACTCCACCACGTCCAGCTCAAGTTTAAAGTGTAGATTAGAGTCTTTTAGGCTGCGTTCAGACTGCAGCCTGAAGTGACCCAAATCCGATTTTTTGGCTTCTATGTTCCTGTATCTGATCTTTTAATGTCAGTCTGAACCACACAGATCCGAATTTTTCAAACATGACCCAGGACACTTGGATATGTGCTCCTGAAACTGATACATATCTGATCTTTTGACATGTGACTTCAGTCTGAACGGACAAAGTTCATTCATCCACCTACACGTCATCAACAAGACACAAACGTCACTATTCTGCGCTGAAGCAGGCGGAAACCGGAACTGTAAAATCTCCAGGTGCTCAATGCTCGCGACCGTATTTGGACAACTTCCGTAAACACAGAGCACGATCGCTGCGGTTGACGCGTGGGGTTGACGTCGTCGTGTCTCCAGTGTCACATGCGCGACACTTTCGGGCCGTTTACCGTTCACACTGGAGTCACAAACAAGTCGCATTTAAAGGTTGTACAGAGGATTTTCCAAGGAACGAGAAATCCAGCGACTGTTTGTCCTTTTTCAAAATGTTGCGCATGCGTGAAACCACCTCCCCTCCCCTACAGCTCCTACGTAGAAACGCCTCCTTCCGCCTCATCCTTACGCCAGAAACCGGTGAACTGCACATGACTTGTAAACAACTAACTACAGTGTTGGTTAGGCAAGACGGAGAAGTGAGGAGCGGGGGGAGCGGAGATTCCGTGCGAATGAACTAGCTACTACTACAACACGCAGCAGCAAGCGGACTCTTTCTTTGCCTTGAAAATGACGTTTTCAGACATAGGATATCACTTTCGTGTCCTGAAAAACGTTTGTGTAGCTCTTGGAAATAAAGTACGTTTTCATAATAAGCAGAAGTTTCCTGTCCAGGAGTAATTTGTGGACCAGTGCGTCAGTCTTTAGACCCTGCGTCTGCTTCAGTCGCGCCATCGCTGGAATGAATCTACAAGAATCACCTTAGTTTGGCTTCGCTGCTTTTCCCCTTGTCCTCTTCTTTCAGCGACCTCAAAAAACGGACTTTCTTTTGCGGCGAAACTGCTCCTGGATTCTTGTCGCCATCGCAACAAACTTTGTGCGAACTGCGAGGAAGATATAGGTCAAAAAAAGCCACTAAGAACTGTTGCGTTGGTGGAGTAAACAGCGTCTGTGCGTCTTGCGTCTGTGGACTGCGTGACAGACGTACGTAAACCACGTACCGGCGGCGCAGGCAAGTCAGTTACACTAGAAACGTAGGGAGTTTGATTGACAGCCTGTCAGCTCACAGATAACGAGGCAGTGTCGTTATCTATTGGCAAATGTTTAGCCCCACCACGTCCAGAGTTGATGAATTTTTATTCTCTTTATTTTGGTCATCATAATTACAAGGCTACTGCATCTATAATCTATCACTGACAATTTGAAACAAAAAAAAACAAAAAAAAATCCTCCATACAACCTTTAATTGGAAATGTGAACGACCTCGCAAAAACATCGGATTTCACCAAAAAATCGTAATTGAGCGTTAAGCCCTGCAGTCTGAACGTAGCCTTAGAGTTTTTTTGTGACGTCCCGTGAAAAGGCTCTGCTGGTGCGTCCTCACGAGTCTCCGTTAGGGGGCGCTGTTCTGTCTCATTCGGTCACTTTGCTTGTGTGTGCTGGTCATCGTGTCATCGTGTCATCGTGTCATCGTGTCATCGTGTCATCGTGTGTTCCATTCTTTTGCCGACATTTGTTTAAAGACGCACGGTAGATTGAGTCTCCAGTGTCACGCACGAGTCCCTCTGTCCTCCCCGGCCGCTCTGTCTCTCCTCACACTGCATCATGTCGACTTCCTGATGTCGGACAAGTGTAGAGCCTAGAGCAACAAGCTTAAAGAGGAGATATTATGCAAATTTTACTTTTTTTTTAGTTTCTATCCTGTGTGTAGAATCGCTTCAGTCCAGGTAGAATCCAAGGAAAAGGAGAAATTCAATTTATCAACTGGACAAACGTTTATTTATGGAATCAATTTGAGTGAAGGAACGCTTTTAAAACATCGAGCAAAAAATTATAAATCAAAATACCAAAAAAAAAAAAAAAAAACTAACAAAAAAATTAAATAAATAAGAAATATAGAAAGAAAAATATAAGACTGCAATTAAATTATTCGTGTAATCGCCTCTTGTATTTTTGTTCTGCGTCTTTCCCAGTTTTGTTTGATGTGTTTTTTTTGTTTTTTTTTCTTTGGTTCTGATTCCAGTCTCCTCGTTTATGCTCCCAAATCCGTGTGTCATTCGTTCATTCGTTTTTCAATATAAAACCAAAAATAAAAAAGATTTGTGTCCTGGTCGATTGTTTTTTCAGTTTTCGGTCGTTTCGGTCTGAGTCCCGCTCTGGTCCCGGTCTGGTCCCGGTCTCACCGCATACGGACGAATCGTTATCCGTTTTCTCATTTTGGTTTTGGAGACAAATAACGAAGAAAACTGTTGTTTTTTCGTTTCTTATTTTTGGTTTTATATTGAAAAACGAATGAACGAACGATACACAGATTCTCCCAGACTTTTTGGTTGTAGTTTTTGCACAAATGTGGCAGGTGGGTGGGATTTCTCATTGGTTAATTTCTGTTGGATGGACAATGAAGCTCGGAGCTCCTGAAGCTGTTGTGGATGTTTCCTGTTGAAGTTTTGGTGCTCAGAGCTTTTCTAATATTCAGTGTTTTCTGGTGGACGTTTCTTCTGGAACAACGTGATTCTCCAGTGTAAATCCTGGACAAACCTGTTGTCTGTGCTGCAGTCACCAAAACTTCATCAAGAAACGTCCACGACAGCTTCTGTAGCTCCAAACTCAGCTGTTCCGTCAAACATGAATCAGCCAGTGGGAATGAACCGATGGAAATCCCGCCCACCTGTCACATTTGTGTCAAAACTGCAACCAAAAAGTCGAGGAGCACAGATGAGAAAACTGGAATCAAAGGACCAAAGGAACAGCATCAAACAAAACTGAGAAAGACGTGGAACAAAAACAAAAACTACCGGTTAATTCAGACGTGTCAAAGTCATTTTGGTCCGGGGGCCGTATCCAACCGACTTTGATCCCAAAGGGGCCGGATCAGAAAACTCATGGTCTCTCCAAGACCTTTAATCTGGCCCTCGTCTGATTTTCTACTAAAATATTTTATTTATATTTTCTATTATAATATTTGTAATTTTCTGCGCCGCTCAGCACAGCAGCGTCTCCAGCGTCTCTGTACGTGGCCCCTCCCACCAGAGCAGCACAAATGAAGACTTGTCTCTTTCCAAACGCTCTTAAAGGACGATCGTTTTGACTGTTGACCGTGACACCCTCATCAGAAAAATGTCCAACATGAGAAAAGTGGAGCCGAGTGCAGGATTTTACAACAAAAATTGACTTATTCCTGTTTACATACAAGTTCCTGTTAAAACTTTGTGTTGAAATTGTATTTTTCTTAAAGTTTCAGGTTGTTCATAATATTATAATATTTTGTAAAAGAAAGAGTTCATCAATTAAAAAAGATTTCTATAATAGATTTGTGTTTCTCTGCACAAATATTTGAACTTATTGTTATTTTTGGGGTTTATATGACATGAGTTTTCTGATCCGGACACTTTGGGATCAAAGTCGGTTGGACACGGCCCCCGGACCAAAATGAGTTTGACCCTCCTGCTTTAACCGGTCGTTACGTTAACCGTACATCGCGGCACCTTTGGCCGTTGTGAAAAAGATCTCTTGGTTGTAGACAGTGTTGGGAAGGTGACTTTTAAAATGTAATCCCCTACAGATTACAGATTACATACACCAAAATGTAGTTTGTAACATAATCCATTAAATTACTTAAAGTGAGTAATGTAATCTGAATACTTTGGATTACTTGATTTGCTGTAGAGAAACAAAGACGAGGAAATTGTAACATAAGATGTTTTGTCTGATAAAAGAAAATAAAAAGTCCAGACTTTACTGAACCAAATTAAAAATATTATTGATAGAAAAAGAGGAAACACGTCCATGCGGCATGTTTTAGTCCTGGTTTAGTCTGGTTTAGTCCTGGTTTAGTCCTGGTTTAGATCTGGTTTAGTCCTGGTTTTAGTCCTGGTTTAGTCCTGGTTTAGTTTCCGGCAAAAACAAACAAACAAGGGGAGTACAGCCCAAAATGTGAAAACAGGAAAACACTGCCGTGTAATCCATTTATTTCAACAAAGTAACTGTAATCCAATTACCACTCACTGAAACAGTAACTGTAACTGAATACTGAATACTCATAATTTGTACTCTGATTACATCACTCCGATACATGTAATCTGTTACTCCCCAACTCTGGTCGTAGAAATGGCGGCAAATATAAATAAATTTGACTCAGTGGAAGTTTTGTAGAAGTAGATTTAACCAAAAACTGGAAAACTAAACCAGTAACATCTTTTTTTTTTGTTTTTTTCACACATTATTGACCTAAATTTGTTAAGAATTTACACGATAATCCCGATAGTCTCCGAGCGGGAACCCTGTTTAACCCATAAAGTGTTAAGCCGAGGTTAGTCCTGAGTTAGCCGCGCGCAGTTGTGGTCGGCGACGGTAGTTTGGTCGGGTCCAGTCATCCTTGGTGTGCTCGTCTGTCCCGCTAGGCCTCGGTAACTACCCGCAGGACCCCTCGGCCTACGGACCCACACGCCCCACTCACACTTATGGTCAGGAAGAGCAGGGAGGCTATAGCGCAGGTAGGTGACCACTCTAGACTCTGCTCTCTCACTCTGCGTTAGACTCTTGCTGCATTAGACTCTTGGGTGCTTGGTGTGGTCGTGCATGTGTCCATGTCCTGCATGCGGTTTCCCTCCACCCCCCGACGACGACGACGACATTGTCCCGGTGCAGTGGGCCGTGGCCGCGGCGTGAAAGAGCAAAGAGCGAGGAGCCCTGAAGTGCCCTCTCGAAAAAAAAAAAAAAGGCCCCTGCGCTCGGCTGCACTCGGACATGTCCTCCTCCTCCTCCTCCACGTTTGCGTTGCTTTTTGCTGATTTACAGACTAAAAAAAAAGGATGATCTAATTGTCAGACACTTGTTCATGGTTGAGTTGTCAGCGCATCATCAGGCGTCCATTCACCCGTTGTGTTCTCTTCTTCTTCTTCTTCTTCTTCTTCTTCTTCTCCCCCCCCTCCGTGCTGTCTCCACATTTGAGCTCGAGGGCTGGCCAAATAAAAAAGAAAAAAAAAAAAAAAAAAAAGAAGGAAGGACTTACGATTAAGAAAGACGTCCATTTCACCGTTTCTTCTCTTCTCTTTCTCTCCTTCCCGGTTCTGTTCTGCTGTGAAACTCCATAGCGCATTCTCTCTTTGGCAGCCTTCGCCTTCTCTCCGCTGTTTCCACGGAGTAATATGGGAATGGAAGGGGGTCAGACGGATACGAGCCCGGCGTCTGGGAGTTTAGAAATGACATTAAAACTTCCTGAAGATAAAATTAAACTATGACACCGACAGCGAAAATTTTACCCCAACAAAGACGCTTCTATCCAAAATGTTGGCTCAAGTTCTCATCATTCTGCTTCCAAAAAAGAGATGTAACAGTGTTTGGACAATAAATAGACAGAAATATGATGTTTATTTAATGAGTCAGGGCCTTTAAAGAACAATACAAGCGTTAGATTTGACAAAAACTAGTGTGTGGTGCAAGAGCCGCCGTGTCTCTGCTCATAAAATAAGTCATTTTCTTGTTGCAAAAAAATGATTTATTCCCGTATTTGTCTCCCCTGTGCAGCTTTTATCGTGTCAACAACATCAAACCCTGGTCTGACCCGACCCGACCCATGCCATACCACTCCAGTGAAAACCTCAGTTAGCTCCTCAGTCCATCTTACTGCTCCTTCCTGTGTCTCTCAGGGAAATACTGCCATCTACTGTTCATAGAGAGTGATATTTAATGTCTTTACCTTTCCTCCATAGATTCATTTAAAGTTTGAATAAAAAACATTTATCTTTTAGGAAAAAGTAAGAAAAATCCACCATGAAGAGTAAGAATCAGACCTGTTCTGTGTTTTAGAACAGTGTGCATTAAATGTTGTGTTTTATCTGTTAAGCCTGATCCATCTGTGAGCGTAAACCCTCCCCAGCTGTGACGCTCCACTTCTCCTCCAGAACAACCTGAATGAGGAGACATGACAGACTTTGTATTGACAGACAAAACAACGAGAAAGTTGTGCGGTCGGACCAGGCTGTTCAAACGACACTTCACAACAACACAAAACTCAAAGTTTGATGAAACGTGGTGGATTTTTCCTCGTCTTTACGTCGTGTCCCTGTGCACCTGTGTGTCCCTGATAATCCAGAGCTCCTCTGTTGTCTTGTGTCTCGTCCCGTGCAGGTTATGGCCAGGAGCTGACAGCGTTCACCCACAGTTTCGCAGACCCCACACAGCCCCCCGCCTCCTACGGGACCCCCACAGCACAGGCCCCCGCTCCCGCCCCTCAGCCCGCCCCCAGCGCCTTCGGACGGGGACAGAACCACAACGTACAGGGCTTCCACCCGTACAGGCGCTGACCCCACGCTCCCCCCGCACCACAGGGACAACTGCAGGAGGCGGGACACGTGTTAGACACGACCGACAGGTGTCACACACCTGTCACACACCTGTCACACACCTGTCATACACCTGTCACACACCTGTCATACACGTGTCAGCAGCTGCTGTCGCACAAGTGTGTCCTCACAGGTGTGGTCACACGGTCGCATGGGTGTGGCTGCTGTCGCACGGGTGTGGTCGCACAGGTGTGTCCGCACAGGTGTGGTCACACGGTCGCATGGTGTGTGCGTCGCACGGTGTGGTCGCACGGGTGTGTCCGCACAGGTGTGTCCGCACAGGTGTGTCCGCACAGGTGTGTCACACAGGTGTGTCGGCATGGTCGCACGGGTGTGTCCGCACAGGTGTGTCCGCACAGGTGTGGCGGCTGTCGTACAGGTGTGACCGATGTATATACAGGTGTGACCACACCTGTCACACAGGTGTGGTCACACAGTTTGGGCAGGTGCAGTCATGCAGGTGCGGTGGCGCAGGTGCGGTGGCGCAGGGACCCAGGACTTTCCAGTGGCTCTGAAGAGTCAGCAGAAGAAGCTTTTCCCCCTCCCCTCCTCCGTGTTTTATAGTAGAACTACTTTGCAATAATTTTGATTGTGTGTTCAACACTAGCACAGAGAATCTATGTGAAGAGACTTGATCAAATGTATGTATATTTATGGTGGACAAAAAGTCAAACAGGGTCTCAAGTTTTCTCAGCTTTAAATTCTTGGGAAAATGTTTTTATTTTTCATTTGATGAATTTTGTTTACTTTCTGAGCCTTTAAAGTTTGTTTAAAATGGAGATTATGAATATATATTATACACAAACTGTGCAATTTTTTAAAAAGAGAATTTTGTACTATAAATGTACACTTTGCTTGTTTTTTATTTAAAGATGTAGACTTCCCTCAGGTGGCTGTTCGGGTGCATTTTGCACTTATGCAAAAAGAAAAAAAGGACAAATTATTACAAAATAAATGTTTTAACAAAGTTCCTTGTCTCATGTTTGTCTTTGTGTTTGTTTGTGACGTACACGACTAACACGACCTGATTTATGTTCGATTAACACGACCTGATTTATGTTCATAATGAACAGAATGTTCACAACATTCACAGTTTGAGGCAGAACTCTGCGGTGCAGCTGTGATCATGTTTATGTGTCAGATGTGACATTTACATAATGTTTAGATAAATGCACAGAGCAAACCTGCCACGTTCCAGACAAAGTGAGCATGGTGTTTACCGGCTCCATCAACTCTGGCTTCAATTCATTTTCTATTGGAAAAACTGTTCATATTGACCTGCTCAACATGATCCTGGGTTTTTTATTTCACTCCTTTGTCCATGAATATAAAATAAAATATGGACGTATTAACATAATAACAGACAAATGAAGACACTTCACCCACGTCGCCCAGTAAGAAAGTGAAGTGCCGGATCAGAAAATCAGCATTATAATACTTCTCAGTAAATGCTGTGTTATCCAGGGACACAGACAAATCTCAGTCTTACACTCTTTAGCTCTTTTAATAACTCCTTTTACACAGAAAAGTGCCATTTGTTTACACAGATCAAAGTGAGTGTTTTAAACAGAGTTACTCCAAGTACTTCTGAGGAGGAGAGGAGCACAGTATCACTACACCACAGTATGTAGTACACATGTTGATTAAGTATAACATGTCTCCTTTAATTCACCACATTTCACAATAAATGACTCTTTAAAAAGCCGCAGTTACATTTTCCCTTCAAACACATTTCAGTTTTTAGTTTACAGTGAGAAGTGCAGTACCCGTGTTGTCCAGCAGGGGGCACTGATTTCCTCAACAGTTCACAACATTCATTTTAGAAACGCTACAACTCACAAAGCTTGGTCTAAAAACACTGTATACTGTTCATATTTGGTTTATAATTATCCCTTTATTGTTTTATTTAATTATAATGTATTATTTTTCACCCTGAAGTGCACAATGACCTACAATAAATCTGTTTTTACCAGATCCTCCTTTGACTTTCTGCGGCTCTTCCTCCTCAGATTCAAGAGCGTGAGTGGTTTGGTTTAACACGTGTTGATGCTGAAAGTCACGTGTCTGGACTCAGCTCATCTGCTCTACTCTTAGGTTACATTTATACAGAGTCGGGTTTGTTGAGAAACTATTATTTCCATAGTATTTCCGTTTTCCTAAATAAAATTGTGCACACAGCATCGTTTTCAAAAATGTTTTCGTTTACATCGACCTCCGTAAATCCTCCATCAAGCGCCGTCAGAACTACACCAAGACTCAAACCTTTAGCATTTAAAGGTCGTATGGAGGATTTTTTTTTTAGGTTCAACTTGTCATTGAAAGTTTAAAATAACATTACAGAGACGCAGCAGCCTTGGAATTATGATGACCAAAAAAAAAAGAATGAAAATCTATCAACTGTGGACGTAGTGAGTCCAGACAAACATCAGCCAATAGATAACGAGGCTCCCTCTTTATCTATTGGCTGTTAGGTTGTCAATCAAACTCCTTACATTTCTAGTGTAACTGACTCGTCATCGCGCGGGGATGACGTGGTTTATGCGGCGGTTCTTAGAGGCTTTTTTTAAACTGTCGCTTCCTCGCAGTTCGCACAAAGTTTGTCGCGACGGCGGACGAGAATCCGCGACCAGTTCGCCGCAAAAGAAAGTCGGTTTTTGAGGTCGCTGAAAGAAGAAGAGAAGGAGAAAAGGAGCGAAGACAAACTGAGGTGATTCTTGGAGATTCCTTCCAGCGACGGTGCGACTGAAGCAGACGAAGGGTCTAAAAACTGACGCGTCTGTTGTTAAATTATTTCAACAGTGATTCTGAACGACACTGGCTGTAAACAAGTGTGATTTCTAGAGTAAAGAGGCGGGAGGAGGAGATGTTTCTACTGAGGAGCTGTGGAGGAGGAAGGTGGAGTCACACAAGCACAACATTTGACAAAGGACTGTCGCTGTATTTTTCTTCCCTGAAAAAAATCCTCTATACAACCTTTAATTCATTACAGTTGTAAGAATAACTCAAAAGTACCTTGAAAAACGTGCATTCGTGAGCGGCTCGCCTCTCCACAGATCCGTTAAAGCCTCATTTGTCTCATTTCTCACAAGAAAAGTGTTTGTACCAGAAGAATCGTCGTCATCATTGAGCAAAAGGGAAACGCTGGTCGCACTTTTGACACGTCAGCTCCTAAAACTCCGCGCTTATCGGTGATTACATGATTTTTATTCCACTTGTCCTTACATTTATTGGACTGATTTTGGTTGTGTGGCGCCCTCTTGTGGTGACCGATGGTGATAAGTGCCCTTGGCGTCGACGAGCACGTTGCCAGAGCACGAGGTGGGTCACTGATTTTAGCTCTTGTCAGTAAAAATCGTGTATTTCTCTTTAATTACTCATGATATGGTCACAGCCTAATTGTACAACTAATTTATGTCATCCAGAACTTTTATGAGCTGATATTTTGTGCAATGTAAAGGAGTCTTGCACATGTCGTGACGGAAGATAACTTTTAGAAGCTAGTGTGACTTGCTCTCCTTGAGCTGCTCGCCGTGTTGAGCCGAGGTTTCCTGACCAGTACACATTTTGTTTCGTGCAGATTAAAGGTTGTATGGAGGATTTTTTTTTTTTTTTAGTTTCAAATTGTCAAAGTTTAAAATACCATTACATAGATGCAGCAGCTTTGTAATTATGACCAAAAAAAAAAGAATGAAAATCTATCAACTGTGGACGTGTTGAGGCCAGATAAACATCAGCCAATAGAAAACGAGGCTGCCTCATTTTCTACTGGCTGTTCGGTTGTCAATCAAACTCCCTACGTTTCTAGTGTAACTGACTCGTCATCGCGCGGGGATGACGTGGTTTATGCGGCGGTTCTTAGAGGCTTTTTTAAACTGTCGCTTCCTCGCAGTTCACACAAAGTTTGTTGCGACGGCGGACGAGAATCCACGACCAGTTCGCCGCAAAAGAAAGTCGGTTTTTGAGGTCGCTGAAAGACGAAGAGAAGGAGAAAAAGAGCAAAGACAAACTGAGGTGATTCTTGGAGATTTCTTCCAGCGATGGTGCGAACGAAGCAGACGAAGGGTCTAAAAACTGACGCGTCGGTCGCTGAATTATTTCTAGACAGGAAACTTCAACAGTGATTCTGAACAGACACTGGATGTAAACAAGCGTGATTTCTAGAGTAAAGAGGCGGGAGGAGGAGGTGTTTCTACTGAGGAGCTGTGGAGGAGGAAGGTGGTGTCACGCATGCACAACATTTGAAAAATAACTGTCAACAACAATCCTCTATACAACCTTTAAAACCGCAAAAGACAGCACTGTGTCCTGGCCATTTATTCACAACACAAACTAAATATACGACGAACGAAAGACGAACAGACGGGTTATTTGCACGGCCAAGTTCAGCGCGGTTACATGTGTATTTCACTTTACACAAAAAAGCCAAACCGAAGTTTTCCAGAATCTCCAATCTAACTGGAGTTTTATAGAAAGATTCAAGAGGCGAATGCATCATTTTCGTGTGAAAGATGTGAACAAATGAAGGGAAATGTCTCTGTTTTTAAAAATACTGTGTACGTGTAAATCGGGCCTTAAAAAACAGTGTCTTCAGTGTTCACGCAACAGCTCCCTCCACCAGGGGGCGCAGAACTCCAACTTCTGTCATTGTGGCTCAGGAGTCTCCAGCCTGTAGATCGGGAGTTGCCAGTATTTCTCCACCTCCTTCCAAGTCGCTCGCCAAGGGATTTCTGAATTATACATATTGGGCTGAATAACTCAAATTTGATTGATTAAATTCCTATTTCCTTTGTAAATTCCGTGCCCTCTTTATCATTAATATCAGGTTGTCCGACTAGAAACAGTGAAAATCCTTACATTTTTAAATTTTATTATATTTTTTAATTCTCATTATTGTTTATTTTGGTACAATCATAAACGATAAGCTTTTGTGCCTTCTTTGTTATCAGTTTGTATGACCATAAACGAAAACAAAAATCTTTACATTTTTCAATCTCACTACCGTTTATTTTGTACGATCATAAACGATAAACTTTTTGTTTGTGACCATAAACGAAAATATGTTTCTGCATGTGTGTGTTTATGTGTGTTATGTTTATGTGTCTATAAACATTTATATTGAGTATTGGATATTTATGATCTGTATATTTCTGCAGAATGACAGGTAAGCCGTCCAAAGGTGATGTAAAAAAGAAAAAAAAGAAAAAAGTGAACCACGTGATTATGTAAAACAGTTGGGGTAGGACTCTTAAGTTTTTAAAATTTCATCCTCCTCCTTTTGTCCATATCACAATTTTTGTTATTGTTTTTGAATTTTGTTGTACCTGGCTCAAACAAATAAAAGAAATGAAATGAAATGAATTAAATGTATAATTTTTACGCCTAATTTTGTACACTGATAACAGGACGATAACTGGACGTCTACCTGTACTTCATCTGCAGCTCAACATGGTGCTTATATTTACACAATTTCTGGTGACCCCAAAAATTAAATGAGTAGCTCTCTGGCATTTTCGTTTTACAAAAAGTAGCTCACAGAAGGTAAACGGTTGAATGGATAATGTTGTGATCTGCAGAAGAAGAGCTCGTCTTTGGAGACTTTGGGCTTTTCCCTCCAGACCCAAGTCCTCCAACAACCGATTTAAGGATCACACAGTTTATTTATGATCAGTCGTGTATCGCTCTGTCTCTCTGATTTTTTCTGTTATTATTTGATTAACAGTGTGTGACAACATCTTTCCACCAGGGGGCAGTAAAGTTCTAACTATCCGTCTACAGTAACGTGATGATACAGTCTATGGATCTGTGTTTGTGTGAATTCTCGTACTTCCTCACAGGATGATCTCACTCGTTTTTTTTCAGCCGTGGAAGAAATGTTGGATCTGAACTCGGGCCTGAATGTGTCTTTATCCATTTGTGAAAACCTGAACACCTTACAGGAGCTGGGAGGTGGGGCCTCGACACTGAGCTACA